TTCCAATCAGCCTCTTCCATCTTCTCCGGTCGTTTTTCCAGTAGTGGAAGATGAAGTTTCTTCCCATAGAGGTAATCCTCTATCTGCATCCTCCAGTATCCAAAATCTGTGCCGTCAAACTTCTCGATCCCTGAAACCTTCACTTCGTCTCCGGCCATCGTTCTTCCTCAGATCTGAACCGGGGCTCTGATACCAATTGTTAAGAAAAATAATAAACGACGACAATAAAACGAAAAATGGATCTAGAAAATTACACCAGAAAAGGCGACACCAGATTTACGTGGTTCGGCAAATTGCCTACGTCCACGGAGCTGCAGAGGATTTTATTAGCTGAGGAAATTACACCGTCGAGCGCCTCGACGTTTACAACAAAACTTTATTTTTTTCTCCTCTCTTCCTCTCTCTCTCTCCTCTCTTCTCCTCTCTAATTTTTCTCTTAAGTCACGTGAGAAAAAAAAAATCAAAGAAATTACTTTTTAGCAAAACCCAAGAAAAGCTACAGCAGCCATTTCTTTTTCCTTTTTTCTTTTGCACAGCGGAGAGACTTTGAATTAGGTAGGAGAGATATTTTCCAGGGCTTTGGGTTATCCAATTTATAGCCAAGCAAGTAAGATTTACTTAAAGGCAACCATAATTATATTTGGCAATTCTGCAAAGCGGGAAGTGGGATTCCAAATCAAGGCGACGCGGGAACGCGGAGCTTCACTCGGTTTCGTGATTTACCCGATTTAATGAGAGATCAGGCGTGCTACAGAGATTTAAGGAAAGTTATTAAACTTAATTTTCGGTTTAATAACTCGCCTAAGCTGCAGTGGACAAGACTCCACTTTCTCAACAACAACATGTTATGTATGTAATTTACCAGCCTAACTATATTTGTTTGACAACTTTTAAGATTTAACTCGGTGAGTTTAATAAATTCTTTAAATTCGGATTTAGTAGTCCCTAACGAGATTAAATTTTGAAAAAGTTAGATCAGAAATTTGATAAATTAAGTAGCGGCATTTACATACATAAAACAATCAAATGATTAAGGTATTAACATACAATTTTAAAATTAACTTAAAAATTTTATTAAATTCTGATACCCCTTTTTATTCGACCAGCAAAACCAACACTTCTTCCCTAAAAGATATTTCATAGTATGTCCGTTTCTCACTCCCCCTTGGAAGCATCTTCCATTTTTATTGCTCTTATTCTTCCAATTCCATCTAGTAGAGTGGTAGATGATGTTTTGAAGCGGCAAAAAGAAAAAGAATGTGGAGTTCCTAAAGTCCATGATAATGGACTACATCAATAACCTCGTAAACGAGCAAGCCTTCAGTAATGTCACCTTCAACATAAAAGGCCAAGAGTTTGTTTTAGAGGGCTTTACCTTTTAGAGAAGTTAGGTAGTTTACAAGCGACATCTGGAAAAGCTCCATTCCGACGTTTCGATGATGACACAAAAAAATGGTTGTTTGAATCCAGAAGAAATAGAGATGCAGTGAAATTTCAGTGACATACGAGGTTAGAAGTAAGGAAATCGCAGTGACAGACGAGCAAACACGGAACGTAGTTTTGAAAGTCATGGCCTCGTCGCGTTAGAATTTGGCCAAAGGCGATATTGTGGTGGAAACAAAGTTCGGGGAGGGTGCTCATCAAACGAGGCCCTACACCCACCGATGCATCTTTTGTTTGACCCTTGTCTTTCTTGTGCTCCAGCTCCTACTCAAAATTATTGAGAATCGTCTGATTAGGGTGGCTGCAGCTTTTTGAAAAGATGATGAAGACATGATTTTCATTTTATCAATTCCTTCAGTAAATCTCAGATTTAGGCTTGATTTAGCGAAGCTTTTCTTTTTAAGATATTTTGTTACATTATATTTTTTTTAAAAAGTCCCGCTGTATTGTTTGGTTCGCTAAGAAGGTGATGAAGTGTAAAATTAAATTTTTGCAGAAGTATTGTATTGAATGTGAAATATTTTAGAGTTATTTGATTCATTGTAAAATAAATGAATATTTTTTTTTTTTGAAGTAAAATAAAAACAATGTATTTCGAAGTAATGCATTTGTCATTGGTTGCAGGCGGCGGTGGGCTGGCAGTGGTGGTGTCCGGCGACGGCTGTAGGGCGATAAACAACATTGAGAATACGATACATTGAGAATACATGCATTGAGAATACGATATGCTCCTGAATGCTGCCGACCAAATAACCCCTAAAGTTAATGGAAGGTAGCTGCAACTTCTAGAAGGCAGATGATTTTTATTATTATTAAAAGCATTTTTTGAAATGAAAACAAAACTTTTTAGAAAGCTTCGTCAAATGAAGCCTACTTCATAGGATTTAATTTGTCCATTTTGACCAATGGCAGCTTTCTTCTAACTTGCCCTAAACAAATATAAACAAGATTTTAATTCATCTGAAATGTAAACTTTATGACATTTAATCTTAATCAATACAATTAATAATTTAAATTAATTTAGCACTAACATTTACCTTCTTATTCCCCTGCCTTGCCCTGAATATAGTCGACCGGAACAATAAGGCTCGGTAGATCCTTCCTTCGCGCGCAGAGCTGCTCCTGCACGAGAGTTCCCCACGCAAAGCTTCCGCTAGTCCTTCCTTCCTCTCCGAACTCTCGATCGAGCTTCTATTGCGCGATCGAGCCCTCCTTCCTCTTCTGCGGGACGCACGACAGGGATCTCGCGAGGCCTAAGTACTCAGTTCGAGCTTCCCAAGCTAGGAAGCATGCGCAAAATGTGAGGCGATTGATTGGGTGAGCCGTTCGAACACTCCAGTTAGTCGATCGAGCTCCTCCTCCTTCTTTCTTTCCCTTGCTGCTTGTGGAACTCAACCGGGCTAATCGAGCCTTCTTCCCTTCGATTCGATCGTGATCAGTGGAGGGAAACGATCGTAGCAGGCGAGCCGCTTGTCTCCTCTACTTCTTTTATCTTCTTCTGCTTTTCCTTTTCCTTCAACTTCTTCTTCTTCCTTCTCATTTTCTTCTTCTTTCTCTACCTCACTCTCCCGCTCTCTGTATATGTGAGTTCAAATGGGCGCAGACGAGGAATGCACGTCCTCTGAGAAAAATTATTGCATACGGACGGAATATCTCTTCATGCTGTGCCGGATCTTAATCGTAGATCAGGTCAGGATGTATTTTGGTGGGTCCCATCTAAATTTTTTTAAAAAAAAACTGAAATATATCATGACCATAAATCATCGTGATCTACGGTCAGGATTGGACACCGCATGCAGAGATGTATGCGGTGTCCGTATGCAATAATTTCTCCGTCCCTAAATGCTCCCATGAGGGTCTCGCTCGAACCAAGAAATATTACATCAACACTCCAACCCACCCAATTTGTGTTGAGAGTCTGATGTCACGTGTCAAAGTGAGCCCACTACAATATAATAGCATTGATCAGTTTAAAAATGATGGAGCCCACTTGACTCGTGGCGCCTCATCATTAAACTCTGAATGCATCTGGAGTCCAAATACAATATTTTTCCGCTCGAACGACACCTGCTATGATGTGTTTTTTTCCTGTTAATTAACTTAGTTATTATTATTATTATTTCAAGTGTCCTCTCTTTTCTCAAAAATTTATATACTTAGGCCAAGAAGGCTCTTAGCTTTTAAGTTAAATGAACATTATTTTAAATAAATAAAAGCTTTATAACTCATATAAATTTCAGGGCAATTACATATAAATAAAAAAAATTCATACATTGCATAAGTATTATGTAATAATTTTTTATTTTACATAGATCATTTCAACACTGATATTATAAATGAATATTTTTTTATACAAAAAAAAAATTTGAACTCCACAAAACCATACAAAAATCACAAATGGGGATTGGAATAGGTTTTTAACTATTGCAAAAATAGTTTTTTGTGTATGTAAACTACATGGTCATTCAATATGTTAATATAAAAGTACCATTTTAGAACACAATTTATGTGCTATTTCTAAATGACTTTCAATATTACTGCTCTGAGATTGGTTTAGTTAAAAACCAAAGCTATCAACAATTATTAAAAAAATCAAATATTTGACACCGTGGATTTGGAGTGATTATTGCGTGCGGAGGTCGCACGCAGAGCTGCGCGCGCCCTCCGATCACAGCCGCACATCGCGGCTGTATGACCTGCGGTAGATAGCCTAGAGTCAGCAAAAAAAATGTGGAAAAAATCATAACTTGATAGGATAAAGACTCGTTATTATTGTTGTTACATCTAGCAGACATTAGTCATCTTCTGTTTCTTCAGAAACAGCAGCTCCAATGTCTTGGGGGACAAGGATGACAATCGCAATCGGCGCCGCCAAGGGGCTCGCCTTTCTTCACAATGCCGAACGGCCGGTTATCTACCGAGATTTCAAGACCTCAAATATCTTGCTGGACTCTGTTAAGTATAGATATAATTCGATAAAAATCTCTTCTTGCTCAGAAATGCTAAAAACAGAATATTGACCAATCTGGTTCCCAATGAACCCTTTTCCTCTCAGGATTACACAGCAAAACTTTCGGATTTTGGGCTCGCAAAAGCTGGACCGGAGGGCGACGAAACCCACGTTTCGACCCGTGTTATGGGAACCTACGGCTACGCCGCGCCGGAATATGTGATGACTGGTCTGCTCCGCCGCCATTATTTGTTCAGCAAGTTCCTCTCTGAATTCATTCATATACATCACCATGAATTATGTTTCCAAGCAGGGCACTTGACGGCGAAGAGCGACGTCTACAGCTTCGGCGTCGTTCTTCTCGAACTTCTGACGGGCCGAAGATCGGTGGACAAGAGCCGGCCGGGGAACGAGCACAGTCTGGTGGATTGGGCTCGTCCGAAGCTGAACGATAAGAAGAAAGCGTTGCAGGTGATTGATCCGAGACTGGAGGAGGAGTACTCTGTGAAAGCTGCACAGAAGGCGTGCAGCCTGGCATATTACTGCCTGAGTTTGAACCCGAAGGCGCGGCCGCTGATGAGGGATGTTGTGGAGACGCTGGAGCCATTGATGGGCAGTGGCGGCGAGCAAGATGAGGGGGCAGTTCCGGTTGTTGCGGATCAACGAATGCGTCGGAGGTTGGTGGGCGATGGGGTTGGCTGCAGGTCGTCGCCTGGGAGTCGGTGTGCTTCGGGCGGTGTGGCGGCTTGCAGAGTGAGGTGATGAGGATTGGTGAGAGAGATTGCTCTGCTTGTTGAAGCTTTTGTGATGTGTAAATACTAATGATTGTTATTTGCTGCATGGTATATTTTTGGCAAATGGCTGGGTTTCCTATTTGAGTGATGTGGATCGAAGTGAGGTATTTAGACATGCTCTTCATTGTTATTGTATGCCCTCGCCGGAATCGCTAAATACCCTAGAAAGGTCATACGAAAGGATTCGGCCAAGAAGACGGCGAAGAAATCAAGGGTCAAGGCCTTCCTAAAGGTTGTTAATTACACCCACATCATGCCCACCCGATACACCCTTGATGTCGATCTGAAGGAGATTGTCACTCTTGACGCGCTCCAATCTCGGGATAAGAAGGTCACAGCCTGTAAGGAGACCAAAGCGCGTTTTGAAGAACGATTCAAGACAGGGAAGAACAGGTGGTTCTTTACGAAGCTGAGGTTCTAGGTAAAGCGAATGATTCATTGAGGCTAGGGTGCTTGCTCTTTGAGTAATCCAGCGGTACGGTTTTCGATTTTATTTTTTTTGTTTCCGTGTTATAAATCTGGTACTGGTTATCTTATAAGATTTTCAGGCTTTCTGTTCCGAGTTCTTAGTTGTTGCTGTAAGACTAATAATTAAGATCTTGTTTCTTTACAATGTGTCTTTCGTGGGAAATTGCTAGAATTTACTCCTAGGGGCTGTACTGTAACGGATTTAAGTGTCATTTGATTTAAATCTTGCAAGAAAGAAAATTGGCAACTTTTAAATTGGATTCAGTAAGTCCTGTTTACATTGGATTTCTTCATAGTTTTGACTTAAATCCCGGATTTTCTAAATCTTTTTGTTGGCAGGATTTAGTAAATCCGGATTTACAGGATTCTCTAAACCTGTTAAAGTTGAAGAATCAAAGCTCTAGATCATTCAGATTGATGTAAAAGCTTTTTTAAATGTCCTTTCATTTTAGTTTTATCAAGCTTTTATGCTTTGCTAAGAAAGGCACTTGTAAGGTAAGAATGTGTGGGATGATTTGGACCTACCTTAATTGGCTTAAGAATGAAGGTTAAAGGGTGGAAAAATATTTATAAAACCATGATCATTAGTCTCATTCTTAAATTGCTCAACTTTATAAATTTTCATCCGTAATTCATTCCGATTGAATATTGCACAACTACTAACATTAATTTGTGCATTTTTCTTGCAACTTGTGGCCATGCTATATTGGTTCCATTAACTTTTTCATTAAAGGAACAGGGGCTGTGGAGTTGATCTCGCGGCCGTGTTCTGTCAAAAAAATTTTTTGGCTTTTTACAATAACCCCACACGACTTGATTTTCAAACGCTCTTGCAACGTTTTCAAAATGCCGCGCGGAGTCGATCCCGCGGCCGCGTTCCGTCAAAAAAAGTTTCGGCTTTTTACGATAACCCCACCCGACGCTATTTTCAAACGCTCTTGCAATGTTTTCAAAATGCCGCCCGTGGCAATAAGCCGCCCCAAACGCATACTTAAGCTTTTATAAAATTTTCCTATTATGTAATTCTCTCATACACTTTTTTTTGTTCTATCACTCTGGATTTCAATTTTAGAAGCGATTTATTCTTATCTTACATAAGCATATAAGATACTTAAAATGATTACATTTAGCTTGATTTTTTTCTCCCAACAATATTGTATGATAAGCATAGGTTTCACTCCCATTGAAATTGTATTATGATGCAACCTCATTTTTTGTTTTGCTAACATGAAGCTTAATGTTTCATTTGTTTCAACAAAATCACGTATATTAAATTGATCTCATTCGCAAATAAAATAAGCCATGGTGCCACATTTTGAAATATTTGCATGCCTCTTCTCAATCAAAATATTAAAGATATGAACTCAATGCTGTTCATTGTGTATGTTTGATGTGGCTAAGAACCCTTGATCACACGACAACTATTTATATTAATATTCAGTACTTTGTTTATTATGGATTTGTTCATTAATTTCAAAATACCTATGGATCCTTTTTATTTAATGGATACAAATTCATCTATTGTAATTAGGGCTCTCAAAATGGGAAAAATTTTTTGTCTCGACTCCGGACGTAACTCTACGTGTGGAATCCAATAATATGTCGTCATATGTGCTACATCACAAAGATTATTTGAGGGTTTTTGAAATGGAACTGCTGAGATTATTTTGGAGTTATTGAAGAGAAACACATATATTCCACTTCAATGATCCCAAAATAACACCGCAGAGGTTATTTTGGGGTTATTGAAGTGGAATATATGAGTTTCTCTTCAATAACTCTTAAATATTGAGATTATTTCAGGTTTTTTGAAATGGAACTGCTGAGATTATTTTGGAGTTATTTCGGGGTTATTGAAGAGAAACTCACATATTTCACTTCAATGATCATAAAATAACACCGCAGAGGTTATTTTGGGTTATTGAAGTGGAATATATGAGTTTCTATTCAATAACCTTGAAATAACATTCGCGGTTCAGGGTTCAACTGAGGCTATTTTGCGGTTATTGAAGAGAAACTCATATATTTCACTTCAATGATCATAAAATAACACCGCAGAGGTTATTTTGAGGTTAATGAAGTGGAATATATGAGTTTCTATTCATTAACCGTAAAATAACCTTCGCAGTTCAGGGTTATTCAAGTAGAATATATGAGTTTTTCTTCACTAACCTCAAAATAACATTCGCAGTTTCACTTCAATAACCTCGAAATAATCTCCGCGATGTAACACACGTGGCGACATATTATTGGATTCCGCACGTAGAGCTACATCCGGAGTCTTGATAATTTTTTTTTCCCAAAATGGCTCATTATTCACGAACAACTCGTGTTTGACTTATTATGCTTTGATTCGTTCACTAAGCAAATGAGTTGAACAAATTTTTTTTTTTTTTAGCTAGTTATATAAACGAGCCAAACAAGAATAGTGATATTTTTTAACGAGCTGAGTTTGGGTTTGCTCAATCACGTGTACACCCCCTAATGGTAATGGTCAATCATATCTCTCATAGTGTTAATGTGTTTTTTTTTTCTTTAAATTCTTTTGGCACCAAAAAACGTCTATACAAGATTCTCTTATACCCAAATTTATTCTTTGATGCTAACATGATTTTTACCAACTTTTCTTCATTAATCTCTTTCATAGCTTTATTATTGAACTAATTAAGTTTTTTTTTTTCTTTTAATTACCAAAATTCTAATAATTAATTTTATAATTCTTAAATATTATTATAAAGTGTTTCTGTCTTATAACCTTTATCCTGCCTTTAAATTAGGGCAACTTAAAGTAGGTCATAGAGCTCGCAGGCTCTGAAAACTGGAAATGCTTAATTTGCATGATGCCTAATCTTTTGTTGGGATAAATGTTATATTGTGTAATCTACTCCTTGATAAATTGGGTGGATATTTGGAGTTGGAGGTCATTTGCGTGTGTATTATTTGATCAAAATTAAAAAGATAAAATCAAATTGAATAAATTTGATTGATTCGGTTCATTTTTAAAATTCTAATTTAATTTTTTTTAAAAAAAAATTTAATATTTGTTTTTAGATTATTGGTTTGATTTGAATTTTCTTTTAATAGAATAAATCATAATATTAAAACTTAATTAAAACTTTTTAATTTATTTTAGGAGCGTTTTATACATTCAACTCAATCCCCATGTATTTATATATATCTACCCATATCTTTCATATTTCTTTGTAATTTTAATTTTTGAAAAATAAAATACATTTTTTTCATGTTTAGGTAATGTGGCATTAATGTAAAAATTAAAGTTGAGTTGTTAGATATATATCAAGTCAAGTGTCAAAATAGCTCCCGATATATATCAAGTCAAGTGTCAAAATAGCTCTCAATTAGTTATACGGAGCCGTTTTAGTTTCAAAATTTATAAAAGTGATAAAATTGTCTTCATATTCTATTTTTTTTTATGTTGTAATCATAATAGTTGACTAATTAATATAGTTAATATTGATTAAAGTGTAAAAATAGTTCCCGAATATTTATATGGGATTATATGGGATTAGGGCTGTTGTAATTCCAAAGTTTATCAAAGTGACAAATAGTCTCTACTCTTTAAATTGGGGTTGAAATAATCCCTTGAAGGATTATTAGAGCTCAATTATAAAGTAATCGGGCACAATTTTGATTCTTCTATAAGCTTTGGGATTAAAAAGACTCGATATAAATATTTGAGGAAAAAAATTGAGTGAGTTCATTTTTTTTTTATAGTTGAGTAAGTAATATATTGAATAAAGTGTTAAAATAGTTCTCGACTATTTATATGTGGTTGTTTTAATCCTAAATTTTATAAGAGTGACAAAATAGTATTCAAACTCTTTAAATTGAGGCTGAAATAGTTCACATCAAGAACTATTAGAGCTCAATTTTAAAATGATCTAGCGCTATTTTGATCTTATATATTCTTTAGGACTAAAACGATATCATATAGATAGCCGAAGGTTATTTTGGCACTTTACTCTTACTATACTACAAAAGATTTGCATTCTGTCTCAAGGGAATTGCACACATATACATGTATTATAATTCTTATATATTGATATAATATTGTGATGTCTTAATCACATCAAAATATATATAATGAAAAAGAGTTTGATTTTAAAATAGTAAATGTTAATGATTTTTTATTTGATTTAAAAATATAAATGATAAATAAATAATGGTTAAAATATAGGAAAATAATATATATATATATATACGCGAATCCCAAGATGTAATATCAACAATTTAATTTCTCGTACATTATAAAGAAGCTCATCCAGCCATTTTTTAATTACGAATTAGAAAATTAAATGTGTTTTAAAAAAAATTAATATACATTTACTTAATACGCCAATTATTCCTTTAATATTAATATCGATTAATTAGTCCTAAAATTTTTTCTAAACATTATTATATTAATTAGAACATTTCATTCATCAAAAGTAGGTTTTGATATAAGATAAGATGATAGGATTGAAAAAGCTTCCTGCTTGATTTAGAGCTTTTTAGGTATTTGTAAGAAATAATAAAGTAAAATTAGGTATTGAAATAATTTTTATAATTTAGTTAAATATAATTTACTGCAAATTATTTTGGAGGATAGAAATTGTTTTTCCAAGAACATTTGAGCAAATCCCTAGATAAGAATAATCAAGAGCCGTTTTAGGTTACCAGAGACGCGTAAGGTGAGAAAATATTAGGTCAGGAGTCCAATAGGAGGGCGACACAAGTAAAATAGATCATCACAGTGTATTATGATGGGTCCACTTTACACGTGATGTCTCATTATTAGACTCCGGATGATCTGGAGTCCTGATCTAATATTTTCTCCGTATAAGATACATTCTCAGAGGAATAATTCATTTTAACTGATTAAAAGAAGAAAAGGAAGATTGCATGTATAACACTTAATTTTTATGTATTTACATTATCCGACACAAACTATAATTTTTAGATACATGTCACCTTATCCATACATAATAATGTGTATTTTACATTTTAAAAATAAAATTGTGACATTGTTTATGAGATATGAAAATTTCTGGGGTACAAATGTAAAAAAAGAAAGTTTAGCATTAGATCTGTAAATTACATATGCCACCTTCCAAGCAGTCAAATAAGAGTCCAAAATCTTCAGGAAACGGTCACTCAACCGTATCATTGATAAATTGTTTGAAAAACAAAAACAAAAAAAAAAAAGGCTTTACAATCTTATAATTTTAATAGACAAACCTATTTAACATTTCATCAATTAATTATGATAATATTTTACTAATCAGCTACAAGATTAAGTTCCTTTTGTAACCACAGAAGTATATCAGGGTATAAAACAATACCTCATTCTGACTTTGTCCCAGCTTTTGTTTGAATCCCATCAGATTCAGTGCTTGACACGGTAGAAAAATCATAATCAAACAACCATTATGCCTCCATGAGAAGATCACCTAATCCCGGCGGAGGCAACGGAGGAACTGCGCCACCTTGGTTGCTTCCGGCCTCCAGTACTTTCCGCGCCGTCGCCTTTGATTCGTGAAAAGTGCTTTCAGTAGTGATACTGGATTGCAGTGAATGTTGTTCGGAAATAGAACTGTTTTGTAGATTCACCATAGATGATGATGATTTCTGCTTGGATTGGGAATGTGCGGAAGCAATCGCGGCGGTGAAAATGCCAGACTCTCTCAAACCTCGAATGATGGCCTGAGAACAAGAGGTGGTGAGGAGAATCTAAATTCCTTGATGAAGTATTTACATATATATATCACACAATTCTTATATATTTGCATAACTAACACTTAAATATTCATATTTAGCTGCATATCACTCGTATCTTTAACATTTACCTTTTAAAAAGTGAAATACACCTGATCATGTATTGGTTTATGTCAATTATTAAGTGTAAATATCAAATAGTGGGTGTTTGACATCTAAATTTCATAACCATTTTGTGGTATGCATGTAAATTTCCCTTCTTTTAATTTTGGGATGAATGAAAGAATTCTTGAGTTTGAACTTTGAAGAGAGAAATTTTTGGAGTTTAATTTACCATGGGTGCATATATACGGGTCAGAATGCCCTTCCTGAGGAGTTTCAGATTTAGTTGTTTGTCGTGCCATACAACGTGTTCTTGGAACCTGGAGAGAAAAAAGAGATGGTAAGGCTGATAAGATCATTTAAATGTTTGTGCAAACTGTTTTAAAAAAATGGAATATTTTCATCTTTCTTCGGTTGGAAACAAAGGGAAATTTTCCAAATCCCGGGTTTGAACGCTCATGCTACCCAAAAAATGATGTAAAAGAGAGAAGTGCCAAAATGGTCCGGTGACTCATGCAGGGGGGTCATTTTAGTCATAAAAATGAAAATTTAGTCAATCGAAGACTATTTAGAGTCTACAAACTAATTTGGCATTTTATAGGCTCTACGACTAAAATGGTCCCCCGTGCAAACGACAACTTTGACACTTTACTCGGCACAAGATTTTCTTTCGTTTTGCCGTTTTGCCAATTTTGATGACACTGTTAAGTAGCTTTCCCAAGCCGATGTTATGGAGCATGCTAATTTCCAGAATTTATTCTAGATGTTTCCAAATTTAAGACAACACAGACCATA